ACCCATCCGATGTGAATCAAATAAAATACACCATTTCAACAACAAGCAAATAACTGTTTATTAATTTCCAAATGATTCAAAATTAAGCAATAAATTAAAAATAGAACTGTTTCAGTAAAGCATATTCTTCTTCTTAGCATGCACTTAGAAACAGTTTGTTTATAAAAGGAGATAATAATATATAATCTGTATAACCGTGGAATCCTTATAATAATATATGCATAACTGGTATCTAAAATTTATTCTTAACCAAATCACAGCAAGGTATTATTATTAACTAAAAATATGTAAATTAGAAATGTAAAGATTCACTATTAAAACACCCAAAAACTGTAATTTCTAGACTTTCTATTGTACAACAATGTTCTGAAATCTAGGGGATATAAATTCAAAAACTTTTGTAATGACTAAATGTATAATTCCCATTAGTTTTCTGTCACTTATATTGCACTACCAATGTCCATTGAAACAATTCAATGGTAAATTATCTAAAAATAGTGATGAATAAATATAAAATGTACAGTCAACCAATCCCTTGGATCAGAGTGTATATGCAATATGATTGTCTAGTGGGTCATTTACAATCCTATTTTGTCATTCCATTGCCGAATGCACACATTGCATTGAAACCTAAACATTTTTGCCAACAATGCATTGTGGTCAGTCTTCTTTGCTTAAAAACAAACACAATGCAATTTTCCTTATTGAAATAACACACAATAGAGTGCTTAGGTATGCTAAGTAGTTGAAGGGATTTTTTCTGCTGGATGCCACCATTTCTTGTCATTTTACTGAGTGCAAAAAAAAAGGCAGCTATCAAAGTGAACACTTTTTTTTTGACAGTTGTCATTTCTAAATGAAGTTTCAAAGGAAAGATGTACAATTTAATTCAAATCAAGCTATTCGACATGGTACAATAAAATCATGCATGTAATACTGACATGGAAAAAAAATATAGATTTAAACATGTTCCTCTCTTTATACATTTTTTTCCATTCCTGCTCTCATCTTCAAATTGTTTTTTTCAATCAGTTGAAGGAAGAAGTCCTGTTTTTCTTTCCCAAAATTCCCTCATAAAAGAAACATTTTTGTTCTTAATAAGTTTTTTTCTCAGATTTACCGTTCAGCACATATGAGGTCTGATGGATTGATGTTGATATCGATATGAAATCTTAGGAATTGCAAAAAATAAGTGATTTCCCTGTACTCTTGAAAAGAAGCATTTTGATATATATATTTGTTTTCTGCGATTAACCCTTCAGAAGATACAGAGCATGACAGACAGGCAGACATTTTGGCTATTATATATACAGATTTAGATTCCTAACAATATTAACAGACAAAATAAAAATACAAGATAACATAAAGCTAAAGTGCATGTATTTTCAGACAGCTGGAATTGAACATTTTAAAACTACAGATTATTATTTTCTTTGAAGAAACCCATTTTTTATTCCACACATACTCTTTTCATGATTTTATTTTGATAATACTTGGGTAGTGACATCCATACACTAACTAAAGGCCCTGGACCAGAAATGGCCCAGTGGTTAGCGTGTCATGATGGAAATCAGAAAGTCCAGGTTTCAAGACTCAATATGTTGCTAAACGTGTCTTTTATTTGCTATGGGGGACATTATAACTCTGTTATCCAATCTCACTCACTGGTTAAGAGTACCTATGCAGCTAAGAGTACCAATCAGCAGGCCTTGCTTGCTCAGAAATACTAAATTAGGAATGGAGATGCCTGAATCTAAATGACCTAGTCATTTAGTCCACGTGTCATATAAGGTACTGTTCAAGATGAAAGTACCAAAGATAAATAAATAAAAGGCTGATAGACAAACAGTACCTCAAAATAGTTATGTTTTTTAATCTCTTATTGAGCAATGATTTATATTAAAACAAAATGATGTCATTAATATTCAAACAGAGTTAGTTTGAATACAATAAATTCTGTGTGAAGTGGAAATGTGCTCTTTAATGCTTATCAACATACTTAGTAAAAAGCTGAATTTTAAAAACATGTTCACTAACCAAACCACAACAGCAATGATCTGTTTAAAAAAATTAAATATAAAGTATATAATAATCATCTTGAATTGTGCTGCTTTTTAACACTATGCTCACAGTTACATATGAGTTACCCAGCTAGAAAATACTTTGTAAAAATATGCTTTTTTTTTCTAAACTCCTTTTATTTTTCAATTTTAAAGGTTTCAAGACTTGTTTTAGCCAAAATTAAAGTGAAGGCTATTGAAAAAGAAGTTATTTTGTTTCAACTCACCTCTCCAAACGTATGTGAAATCTCTGGGGATGTAATGACATCACCAGAACTGCCAATTACATCTCTGTGCATGTAATACCCCTGTCACAGAAACAAGTTATGTCACACAAAAGATATCTGGTATACAGAGTGAATGACTTATAAGTCAAGTAGTAAAGTAACAAGAGTCTGTAATGATATCAAACTTGTATTTTTTTAGCATTTAGCAATATCCATTTATAACCCAATTTTTTTATGCTATTCATGCTTATTTCAAAATTCTCTGAAGTTAATATTTTCTTAAACTGAAAATATATTTCCAATAGATACTTACTACTTCTCACAAAAAAATGCTTTCCTTGATTTATGCTACCCTCTATATGTGCAAAATTTTTTTCCACTAGTCTTTATACTTCCACTAATCTCCACATGGTATAGCTGCGTTGTAGCATGCAAATAAGGAGGAACCTACAAACGGTTTTGTGGAAAACCCCATGACAACAGTGAGTGTTAGCAACAAAAGGTCACACAGTGCGGATTTAAGAATTAGTATACCAGGACAGACATCACTTGCCATAGAGCAGGATCCTAAAAAGAAGTGGAAGGAAGCCCCTGTATTAAGAAATAACAAAAAAAATGGCATTTACCCACTCCAACATGAAACCTTGACTGAAAGATTGCAACAGGAGGTAGACAATATCCAGCCAAGAAGGAAACTTCCAGACGATGCAGATAATGTGAAACGAAAGTATGAGGTGTGGTCTACATGCTAGTCTGGATAATCTCGTCCAAAGGATGATGAAGACATGCAGCCAAAGATATTTTGAGGTGACGAATCTGATGAGTGGAGACAGAAAAGGTAATGGGAGTCAGGAGACAATGAGGACTAGGTTATACAGATGTGTTGCCAAACCCAACCAGTCAGAATAATAGGAGAAAGGTCACGGAAACTGAAGGATTCCAGTGTATAAACAAATGGGAACCACAGAAAGAGCTGTGTGAGCTACATAACACTGCAAAGCCTGGACCAGACACAGGAGATGATCAGGATCAGAACAGGAATATGTATGTGAAATGGAAGAAAGAGTAATAGTGGTGAAGGCATCATTACCCTCACATGCAGCGGAGGTTTTTGGTAGGAAGGTACAATCGGAATAAAGGAGAACACAAGTTGAGCGGTAAAGTATGCAAGAGACACTGATGGTGAACACATCTGACCTTCGACATCCACAAGCCAACAGGAGAAGGAAAAAGGTTTTCAAGGATAGGTGGTATACGGAACAGGGAACCAAAGGTTCTAATGGAGTTAAAGAAAGGGAATGGAGGACAACATTAAGGTCCCAAACCGGCAAGGGAGTAGGTTGTGGAGGATGATGGAGATGAAAAAATAAAACAAGAGGGTAATAACAGGAGAGGATAAAGCATGGTGGAATTGGGAAAAATGAAAGGTAGATGATAACATGGCTCTATAATTGGCTATGGTTGAAACAGAAAGACCATTATCAAAGTCTGGTAAAAAAATTCAGCTAGATGAAGGAAAGGAAGTGATAAATCCCCAATAAATAGACCAATGGCAAAAAATATGCTACTTATGTCAGTATAAGGAGAAGGAAGAGGTGCGGACGGAGTGAGAAAGAAGGGACGCTACCTGGGTGGAAAGTCCAGAATTTCACACAATGGACCAGACAAAAGCCATGTGTGAAGCCAGAGGCTTTGAACAGACGAATGAAGCATTACCAAATGAGGTTGATGGAGAAGGTATGGGGAGAAAGAAAGAAATAACAGTGGTGACAACTGAAGAGGGAGAAGTAGAGGGAACCAAGAATGAGCTGGCCATAACAGAGCCACTAAAAGGACTTTATACAGAGTGGTTTGGATAATGGAAAGAATGCTGGAAAGAAGATGGATGGGGGAGTGGGTAGGAATAAGCATAAATGTATAGGTCTGTTCAATTCTGACTGAGAACATCTATTGCCAAAGCCAAAGAATGAGGAACAGGAGACCAAAATAGAGGGAGTTTGGTATTCAGATTGGTGGCAAATGCATCCCGCCGCGTAGTGCCCAATCGACAGCATAGCTGCCTGAAAACCTGAGAGTCAATGGACCATTCTGTGAGGAGAACCTTGTCAGGACGAGATAACTGATCCACAACAAGATTGAGAACTCCCAGGATATGACAGGCCAGCAAATGAATGTGATGGTTGTAGGTCCAAAAACAGTACGTCCAATGTGTGAAGATACAGTGACTGCAACTGGGTGCCCCCTTGATGAGTGATGTAAGAGACAACAGTCAAGTTTTCAGACTGAATCATTGTTTTGCCTCTCAAAGGTGGCAAGAAATGATCCATTGACTGATGAACAGCCAGGAGTTCCACAATATTGATGTGAAAATCAACTCGACTGAAGGCCAACAGCCGAGATCTATTGGATGTTGCAGTATGCCCCAGAAACATTTCTAAAAGGATGGACCTCTGGTCATGGAGAAGGAAAAGGGACACCAGCAGTTGTGTTGTCCCTGTCCAGCCTCTAGGCAAAATTGGTCTGGAGGGAAGGAGGAAGGGATACTGTGTAATCCAGGGGATCTCTGGTGAGGTTCCACTGATCCTGAAGGACCCACTGAAGAGACCACATTTGGGCACGGCCAAGGGGAATAAGGGCCTCCTATGAAGCTCAAGTCCCCAAAACAGAAAGAACCTCTAGGCAGCAGGAAGAAAAGGTTAGGATTATGCCTTCTGAATCATAAGTTCCATGGAATGCAGTTGGAGGGGAGAAAGCTGGGCCCAACTGAGATGGGAATTAAAAATACCCCAAGATGACAAGGTATGGAGTTGGTGTGAGAACTGACTTCTTCACCTTGACCAGCCAACCCACCCATGCAGCTTCCTTGAGAAGAAACTGCATGTTGATGGAAGAGGCCAAAAGTGAAGAAGTCAGAAGTAGTCAACTGTACATATAATGATGGAAATGAAGCCCACTTGAATGAAGAAGTTGGGCGAAGGCTTTGACTACCCAAACTGATATGTACAGTCCCTGTGAAAGAAGTGAAAATAATGACAGGAGATTGGGAAAATGGGAATATGGAGGTAAGCATCTGACATGCTGAACTTTGTCATCCAAAGATCTGGAATAAAAGCCCATCAAAGAGACAGGAAAGACTCCATGGTGAACCAAGTAACTTCCAAATAGTGGTTCATATTGGAGAGATCAATAATAGAAGGCCAATCCCAGGTCTTCTTGGGGACTAAAAAAACACAGGAATAGAAATCAGGAAGAGTAGAAACTACCGGTTCTATAGTGCCCTTGAGTAGAGTTTCTGAACTGCCTCAGAAAGATGCTGGCTGGACAGAGGATCCTGAGGAGGGGGGGAAGGAACATGAAAGAAGGATAGGAGAGGTGGCAAAAGGAAATGAAGTGAGAATCCTTCTGATAAGACCCAAAGAACCCAAGGGTCAGTGGTAAATGATTCCCAAACGTTTGCAAAAAACAGCAATCTGGCCTCTACTAGACCCAATTCAACACGACAGTCACCTATACTGTTGGTGACATGCAGGTTGGTAATGAAAATAGTACACCATGAAGGTGTGACCCGTGAGAAAGGATGAGGGAAGGGAGATGAAAAAAGTGGCCATGACACAGAAAGGATACTTGCCAGTAGGTGCTTTTGTTAAAAGAGAAGAGGATGGGATGTAAGACATGGTAGACAAAGATAAAAGAAGAACACATCTGTGAAACTAACTCCAAAAATGGAGAAGGCAGTTGTGGCATGTCCATGGTCTAAAAATGAGGCTGTATGGCAAAGGAAGGGGAGTGAAAAGCTATCCAAATCCTCAAGAAGGGAAAAGATGATTGATGGTCAGGAGACCCCTCGGCCCTCAAAAGGAAGACATCTTGCATTGTATAAGGGCCAAAATATCCTCAGCTGATAACGTTGGACCTGAAGCCATTGTGTTAGGTTGTTGGTCACTAATTATGTCTGAAGCTGTAGTAGTAGTGCCTTAGAACTGTGAATTCATAATAAGTCATTCCTCGAAATTATTCAAAATGAAATTCACTTCAAGTATACAAAAAAACAAATTCCAAGTTGTTTTTCAAATCCAAGTAAAAAAATTAAAATCCCCCCAAAAATTTTCAAATAAAAAATATTAGTGATGGAATTTTTGAAGTCTCAAAATTTTCAAAGTTCAAAAACATTGTACACTGAATTAAATAACAAAAAGCAGCATGAGAGGTGACTAATCACTTTCATACCAAATCAAGTAGTGAAGATTGGGTTCTACTGCATAGAGGGAGTCAGCTGCACTAGAAAAGTGTGTCACACTCCTACCAGTGGTGGGTTGTCACATGCTTATTTGCATGCTACAATGCAGCTCTACTATGTAGAAAACATTAGTGGAAGTATAAAGGCTAGTGGTGGGTGAAAACTTTGTACATATAGAGGGCAGTACAAATCGAGGAAAGCTGTTTTGTGAAAGGAGGTAAGTTATCTTATTGGAATTCGAGCAGACCAAGTATTTAGTTGATAACCTGTGGATTGCTTACAATGCAGAAACTGGTTAAAACTAATATGGAACAACTTCCAGAATAGCAAGACAACAAAAACTTGAAATTTTAAATAATAACTTGAACATTGAGTATTAAAAATCTTAACTACATATATATATGTCAAGAAATACCTCTCACAGAGTGATCACTAGTAGATTTAACACAATGCTGTAGTAACAGCCAAACAGTGTGATTGTACAACTTATTGAAGCTCAACTCACTAGGGCTGCTTAGAAACGTACCTAATGAATGCTTTACAAGCAGTAACACTGAAAAGGTTTTCTAATCATTATTGAAGTTAGAGATCACTGTCGGGAACTTAATATGAAAAGAGAAACAATATTTATTAAAAACAAAATATGAGTTTTGTAATCATAAACTGACTTACTGACATGGGATTAGTGAGAACCTCCTTCATATATTCAGCAACAGTCACAGGCCCTGTAGCTGATATTCTTGCTCGTAAGTGGTGGAGCAATTTTGTCTCTCTTGATTTTTCTTGTACATGAAATGAGTAGTTCCTTCTGGGATGAAGGCCAAATTCTTGAAAAACATTATGTAAAGTAAGTTGCACATTAAGAAATTTATAATTAAATTAAATGCATAAAGCAAAGCTAAAGCTAGAATTAACAACTTTAGGATCACCCAAGTATCCATCTAAGGCTTACCTAAGTAATAGCAAATGAACACAAAACAAAAACAAATGAAACGTAAAAAAAAGAACATCTAAAAACAAATCTTATAGTCTCAAATAAACAATGTACTTACTATTCAAGCATTTGGAACAATGCTTTTAATATACAAAATATTAATATTCTAAGTAGTCCATAAATATATAAAATCCAAAAGAGAGATTGAATATTTTTGAAGAGAGGACTCTTGTTTTGTATCATCAGAAGCATCTTTTTCTTTTTTTCATATACTGAAGAGAACTCCTCTAGAAACGAGTTTATGCTTTTGGGTCTTTTTTATTTTTACAATACTTTGCATGGTGACATTTAACTTGAAAATGGCTATACAGTGTTCAAAAATCCCCAAGATTCCTTAATACCAATCTAAACTGAATCCACTAAAAGCCAGTCAGTTTGATTATTTTTCTATGCATATACAAGCAAAAAATAATTTAGTAGCAAGATGACAAAGTAATTAAAACATGACTCCTACCCATTACCTACTGTTACATACCTGTTAATTAAAGGAAGACTCTATCCATTAGCTATTGTTTAAACACACTAGGTAATTAAAGCATGACTCCAACCCATTACCTACTGTTTAAACACACTAGGTAATTAAAGCATGACTCCAACCCATTAGCTATTGTTTAAACACACTAGGTAATTAAGGCATGACTCCAACTCATTATCTACTGTTTAAACACACTAGGTATTTAAAGCAAGACTCCAACCCGTTACCTACTGTTTAAATACATTGATAATTAATTATCAGTAACTCAATAAGCATAATAGCAAACACAGATCCAAATACTTCACAAAAACAAACTGACTGAATCAATACTCAATCTTTAAAAATAAAAACTATCCCTCTGACTATCTTTCAACTCACCCTACTCTTGAAACAGCAATACACACTTCAGAACTATCTGGTATTTTTAATCTAGCTTTGAAATTATATGCCATATTCTTAGAAATTTGTCGGTATTCTAGGCCTATCGTCTCATATCTTTTAATCTGAATATTATCATTTAGACCTGCAGCTCCCTGTAACCAGCATTTACATTACAACATTAATAATTTTAAAATGTAATTTATAAAGTATACATACTCTTTCCTCACTTTATGAAAACTTTAAGAAATTTACATATAAAATTTGTTTGTATTATAGTAAAAACCTTGCATTGTTATATTTGGACGTTATGCTCTTATCTTCATTTAATAAATTACACAAGATACCCAGTTTTAGCCAATAATTACACATTCTTTCCTTATGTTGCTTTACAAAGAATGCCTGTAGGGTGATTACTGTACCCTCTATGGTATCGCGAGTGATAAGCTACTGGATGGCAATGTATTGATGGGCTTCTGCTACATCTTCTCTTGTTTTGAAGATAATGTTTTGAGCCCTAAAAAACTGAGACTCAGCTAAGAGACCAAACCACAATAAATGTTAATGGAATGTCAAATGCACTTTACTAAGCTCACCTTGAAAGAATTTGCTATCTAATATGTTAATTTCCCTGAGCAAACATATGTTTTACATTTTCTACCCCTCCTTAATATTAGCAGTTCACATTTACAATAGTGTTACAGTCAACAATAAAATTACACAGGGATGTAAAACAAACAGGAACTACTATTAAAAATGATGTCTTACTCAACATGCACCTGGAAACAAAACTGAAATATTTCAACAAGCATCACAGTAAACATACATCTGTACTTTTACATCTAATTCACAGAAAAAAATTCACAACTTTAAAATTTTCACAATATTTATATGTTTGTGCCTAGGTTTTTATTATACAACCTGTAGAAAACCTTGCTGTGAATCCTAAGGCCCATAATCCTTGGAATTTAATAGGCCAACTGTTTTTTAGTGTGTGTGAAAGCCCAGCTGGTGAAATTCTTGTCAAGAAGTTCACAGTCATGGCTGAAGATGCCCGAGAAAACACCTTCAAGTTGAATTAAACAGTTTGATCCTAGAACAAAAAATATCAAATGGTATTACCACAAGTATGCTGAGTTACACATTATGATACATATATATATAGTCTTAAAGAGTAACATTTGATCCTTACACAGATAATGACCAAATTAATGGAACATCTAATTTATTCTTAAACACTATTAAAATAAAACTATTAAAAATGGGTATTTACTGTGATGTCTTCCACAAGTATGTTTTAAGTAAGTAATGTACAAGATCTCAGGACATAAAGAATTTGGAAGAGTGACAGGATAAAGGGTTTGTGAAATGAATTGAAAAAATGGAGAATGAAGGTTGACAGTGTGAGAAAGTAATGATAAAACCCTTTTTGATGCATTCTGTAAGTTTAATCTCTTGACCAAATCCATTTAGAACAAAGATTTCTTCCATTATGAAGGAACAACATTAAGTCTCTTACCTTATGCTACAAAATGAAAAACAAACACAAAATTACTTATCTTCTTACTTACTCAATGTAATCTTTCCTTAACTTTCACTTAATTTGCTAAGTATTCAAGTCATTTATTATTATTTGTAATTGCACTGTGAACTTCAAAGAACTTTGTAAACTTTTATGAGAAGGAAAGAATTAGTGATGCAATCACAAATAGGTTAATTAAATGTTCAAATTTGTTTTTGGAAGGTGGGTGAGTACCTCTGGACTAAAATGGCCTTCCAACAGGCTGTCTTAAAGAGGCTATAAATGTAAAATCAAACGTTATGAGCTTTATGTTATTTAAGCTTTAAGAGCCTAGAAGCAGACGTGTTCTTTAACATTTTTTGGTTAGTCATAAACTTGTAAAATAACATGCTTGATGATGTGACATATGGAGTAAACTTGGAACATTCTAAGTTGTTGTTTAACAGATATGAGGGGTTATATGTTTGTGCCTATGTATTTATATATGACCTGCAGAAACTATATACGGCAATTAATGGAATTTGATAATCGATTAATCCTCAGGATCATTAATAGATTAAATTTAGCTAATCAGTTATACTGAACAGACTTGAATAGTCGGAATAAAATTAAAAATAATAATAATCTGAAACACTAATTTCAATTATTTGATTATTTTTGTGATATTGATCAATTTAATCATAAGTTGTATTATTTTATGTGACACTACTTGACATAATTGATGCTCATAGATAATCAATAACATTGAATAATTGATTAAATCATCCAGTTCTAGTTATATACGTTATTTAGCTGTATTATGCTGTTTTTCTTGTGATAAGGAGTATGCTTGATGAACTAAATCATCTCCTGTCAACTTCCTTTCTTTTTATTATGTTAACTCCTGAAAAACATACAAATGATTGTATACATATCAAAGAAGAATGATAAAACTTCATAATACAAAAAAAGGGTATAAATAAATAAGTCTTGAGGAAAGATTTATAAATCGTAGAAGAACTTACAGTGGACAAGAACAGGCCAAAAAAACATTCTTAAACCTCAGCTACTAGGGTGACTTATTCTAACCCAAATACTGGAGAGAAAACCTATATGCTCCTATGTTTAATCATATCTATGTAAATATATAGAATACATAATTATTATTTTCTTTATATTTCACAATAAAAGCAAAATAACACCAACTTGAGTCATATAGACCTCATCCAATAGTTAAAGGTTCAAAGTACAGAATTTAAAGAGGCAAGTCACAGGTTGAAAAACTATAAAAGAACTAACCAATATCCAATAATTTGTAAATAACAAATTATTTTCCTTTATCTCTAATCTAATGCACTCTGTCACAGTTCTAAATAAAGGAAAACAAGTTTTTATCCCATCTTAAGCACTGTTTCAAAATTACCATTAATATTTAGTGCTATTTACAAGGGTAGGATGTAAACATGTTAATGGTATATTTTAATTTTGTGTGATATTTTGAAATGCATAAAAAATACTCTGAACTATAAATAGCTAGCAGGTGGGTTTCTCACTCACACCTACATGAAACTGGTCCAAGGTTTTGAGCATATGATACAGGTGAATCATTAAACATCCATATATTATAAACATCACTATCAGTGGCATAGGAAGCAGGGTGGCCAGGGGACCACCCCACTTTTCAATCTGTCCCTATAAAAATGCATCAAAATAATTAGGAAACTTACTCGGGAAAAGCAGGGGAATGCATAAAATTTAATCCAGTACCCAAGAGCTTCCAGAGCCCTAAGGCAAGCCCTGGACCCAGCTGTAATGGATGCACCTGTGGCACACATTCCCTCGCTTCACTCAGTCAAATAAACCTTGCCTCTCCATTTTAAATTTCCTCCTACACCTCCGAATATAGTGTTTGCCAAATTTTGTCATTTACTGGTTTGGTTTTATTCTTCATGTACAAAGCATTTTCTTAATATAGCTTCAGTAGGATAAACTTCAGGCACTATATATATATATATATCTTAAGACTTAGGATATACTAATAACCTCCATTAACCTCTTAAGCAAATTTTGATACTGGACTGGATTGTTATTAACATTTATATATATATCATGCAGCAAAATTTATTTGGCCTAAAAACAATAAAAGTGGATGATTTACAAATTTGTTTGTAATCCAATATGTTCCTACTGATTAAAAAGAAAGATAAATTACTTTCTCTATTGTCAAGTCCATGGAGCAAATGCACTCAAAATAAGGTAAGATTGGACTTTTTAACATAATTCTAGCCTTGTCTTCATAATTTGTGGAAAGTAATAACGATCCAATTTTAGTACTTAATTAATTATTATTTTTTAAAGAACAGTTTTTGTTGCAAATTACTAGGCTAAGGTTTATTCATTTTTATTTGAGTTTAATTGAGACATACTTAATTGCAAGACTATTAGTTTAAACATGTTTAAAAATAAAGTTAAACAAATTAATCAAATCTAATTTGAACTTTATATAATCATAATCAATCACACTGTTCAAAAATCACATGTATTATCTTAGAAATTACAGTAACATTTGTAATTACAAACAAGTCATTTGAAAAAAGAAAAAATAATATCATCAGCAATGTGATGCTCATTTCGAAATTTAATACCATTGAAATCTAGATTTAAAAGCACAGTTGATATTACTAAATTTGGAAATGAACCTTGTACTCCTGATAGTAATACTATTGGTGGTAAAAGGACACAATAATAATTGATATATCATTTGGTTTTTTTTTTAGTTTTATCTATCTACATATATACATTACTTTTATGAATGTGATTATTATTGCTTATATTTTTATAATAATTAATATTACATTACTATTATTTGCTAGCTGAATTCCACGCCCGAAATTGGCCAAGTCTGCTTTTCCCAGTAAATAAGATGCTAATATTTTACTCTATAGTTTAGGAAGTTAGTTCTCTGATGATCTAAGAGTGATGCTGTGAACACTTATATAAATTAAAAACAGCCAATACAACACAAAACTGTAGCCTCTTTCCCAGATCCAAGGCCGGTCATATTTCTTATCTACGTTTATATATTTTTTCCAAATCTCACCAACTTAATTTACTTTTTATAAATATTTTTCACAAACATGACTATTAATTTTATTTAAATCTCAGCAACGACGCTCAACTGAAAATTACTAGCTTAAATAAGGCCAGCAATAACAACACGAATAACGAATTTATTACTACAACGCGTATACCATTACTTTACCATAAAACCAATGGCGAAGGCGAGTTCACATAAGAGACCGCGAGAAAAAATTATTTTACAGCAATTTTTAAAGCGCAGTCTAATTAGCTAAAAGTTAAATGACATTTTGTTTCAAAAAATGTCTAACGTTTTTATTTTATCGAATTAGAGCTTTATAAAAGTTCAATATAATTTTCTTCATTAATACTTTACTATGTAATTTATTTGTTACGCACAAAGCTACACAATGATAATGAATTACCCGGGTAGGCTCACATTAAGAAATGAATATATATTTTATTTTGTTTGTAAGTGCAATACAAAGCAATGGGCTACCTGTGCTATGCCCACTCCGCTTACTGAAACATAGTGTTTAGCGTTGTAAACCCTCAGACATATCGTTGAGCCACCGGGAAGGGCCTATATTTTATGTAACCTTATACACCCTCGATTTTATCGCTGAGACGCATATATATATATATAT